CAGGAATTATTTTAACGTACTTATAAATAAAAGTAAACAATTTTATATGTAGGACTAAGCAAGTAAATGTTATAAGAATATTTACATGTAGAGTTATATATAAAAAAGTTAGTATTTTCGTAGATTTCAGTACCTAAAACCTTGATGGTTTGATCGTTTTTTGCACCTGTTTATTAGTTTTACTGCGGCGTCTTTGAAAATAACCAGATGGCATGACATAACATTCCTATTATTTGATAAGCTTTAGATTATTCAATTATTAAATGTTTGAAATTATTCGTCTTTGTGGAAAACACTATTTAAAGAATATGGGGCCCTTAACGACCAGCAGTAATCGGCTAACATGTTTATATCCCATCTGCCTTGGTACCAACGTTTCATTACCTTAATACGTTTTTGCAATCTTTCTCTTTGCTCTTCACTGTAATCACCCAAATTTTCTGGGAAATAATCCACATGAGAATGTAAAAAATTCTTGTTTTATTAATTTTAGTAACAAATATATGATCCTTTAACAAACACCTAGGCTGCTTAATAAATCTCAAATTACCTACCATTTTACATTCTCATGTGAAGTATTTCCCAGTAAAATTTGGATGATTACAGTGCGGAGAGAGAGCAGCAGAGAGAAAGATTTCAAAAAGATATTAAGGAAATGAAGCGTCGGTACCAATGTTAGCCGATTACTGCTGGTCGTTAAAACGAAATTTACCATTTAAATCGAGAAAACGTAACAGAAATCCAATTCGCAGATCTTTTGACAATAAAATAGTTCGATACCACAAAAGTGAGTAGTAATCTCTATTCCATAATAGTGAAATACAGTGATTTTATATGATTCATCAAGGCACAAAACCTCGTTTTGAAAATATGTTCTCAATTGACACAGACCCACTATGTATATTAATGTAGATGCAGCATTAACTGACGCTTTGGTTTAAAGCTTACTTAATTAGATTTACTGATACTAGAATTTTAACATGTGAAAACAATTAACTCGGGAGCTAATCGTGTCAAACGGACACCGAATTAAGATTCAGCGACGCCAAAAACATATAGCTACCATGGTCTAGTCTTTCGGACTCCCACTTTTTTGTGGGGCTATGATCAACAAACCCGTTACACAAACAAAGACACAACAGGCCAACACAAATTGATCCAGATACATTTTTATACAAGCCCAATGATATTCAAATCTTTATATTCCTGATTGTGTGACATATACAGAAAACGGACTATCAAGTCATGTTAAATCATATCAATCAAAATTCAAAAGATGTAACAAGTTTACTCAGAACTGAATACCTTAATTCCGAAGAAAATTTTCATCTGTTCGAATTTTGTAATATCTGTTTTACATTGCGAATTTATTCACGAAGTTTTTCATAAATTAATTCATCAATTTATTCACAAAGGTTATTCGGCCGTCCAAATCTCCCTATTGTTCCCTATTCGGATCATCCCGAAAAAAATTGACGCTACAAATAAACAAAAATGGAAACTTAAGCAATAAAACAAAAATTGATACAAATTCCTTGCCCAACATTAGCGATATCCTTGAAAAACTTGGAAAATGTTAATATGTTACCACCTTTGACCTAGCAAGCATATTCCACCAGATAGAAGTGCATGAAAATTTCATTGAAAAAACATCAGCAAAAAAAGCATCTACAACGTTCTAACGAGTACTTCCCCTTTAGCAACAAATTCAGAATGCCTGTTTACCGACATGTTTGAACGTGGGGTGAGATATAACCAACATACATAAGTATGTCATATCTTAATTATCAATGCTACTATACTATATACTATACCTAAGTTTCTACTTAATTTTAATTATTTCTAATTGTCAATTGTATAAATGCTTCTTTTACATTCGAGAATGAAAATTTACGTCTTGAAATTAACACTCTTTTCTATGTATACAGTGTGATTCAGTCATAATGTAATTAATTTTAACCACGTATTCGGAAGGCTTAATAAAGACAGAAAATCGGAAAAAATATTTTTTACTCGACTTTTAAAAATGCGGCGGCCCTGGCAGATGCCCGGATGCTCGGAAAATTTTGTAACGTAATGTCGAATGAACAGTTGTCGGCTGAAGCGAACAGCGTTGCCAAGTTCACATCATAATGTGTGGTTCACATTTACTGTGGGTTCCGCGTTCCGCGTTAAACGTATTCAAGTAAATAAAGGAGCATCCTGCATTTTATTATAAATAATTTTAACAATTGTATTAACTTAGTGCAGAATGTTTTAACAAGCCTGAGTTCTCGAAGTCAACTTTCGTTAAAAGAAAATAAATAAAGCAGAGATTATTTGGCACACCGTATTTTATCAAATAAAAAAGTCGGCACACTACTAAATACCCGAATATACAAAATACACACGGTTACAAAACCATTAACAATTTAAAGCGTTTATTCAAATCTACCACCTTCCATATCTCCCGTATTTTTCCAACTGCATCTATCATACCATACCGCGCAGCGAACGTGCAGGACATCGACAAAATGACTTAAATGTGATAGAGGATGTTTTAAATTTAGTCGAGGAGCAGCCTACTATTTCCACAAGAACAATTTCAAGGCGACTGGAGATATCACAAACCAAAGTTTGGCGGATATTGCGCGAGAATTCACTCAATCCGTACCATTTTCAAAAAGTTCAAACTTTAGAACCAGCTGATTTCCCACAATCGTCTTGAATTTTGCAGTTGGTTCCTAAATCGAAGTGCACTGGACGGATGAACGCTGTTTTACACATGCTAGCATTTTAAACAGATAAAAAACATATTACTATCTCAAAAAACAATAAGTACCTACTTAGGTTACATCAAAGTATATATTTACACTAAAGTTTACATTTATTATGTAAACTTTGGTTATACGCAACTACATATTGAATAATAAATTGAAATACTAAAATTGTGTATTTGTGTATTATTTAACATAATAAATTATAAAACGTTAAAACTTTAATAATATTAAAAATGATAAATTGTAATAACCGTACATTCGAAAACAATCATCCCCATTCATTACATTCAATTTTCCTTTGATAAAAGACCGACAACTTTATGCACTACTTTGCATGGAATACGATCCTACTACAGTTCGTATTAGTCTAGGAATCAGATAGGATTCCGTTTACTAGCTATAAAAATACACTTTTTACAGCCATTTAACCATTTAATTGGTTGAAAACAATTAAACTGACCACGTTCAGGCTTTGCGACCAAGTTTTTTGGATTCTGGAGCTCAAAATACTACGAATAAATTGTTTGCAGCCGTGGCACTCTGGTTGGCCACGGCATCCTATCTGGCTCCTAGACTAAAGTACACGTGCAAATTAAAAGTGGGTCAGATAGAAAGAAGGTTATTGACCTAGATACAGGTTAGCCTAGGTCGGGAACACGTACCGAGTTGTTTATTTGTCTCCGTCCGATTGTTTTTTATCTTCTATTACTTACAGTCAATATTTAAATACTACATACATTTCACCCCCTCTTTATAATTTATCTAGTGAGTATTGGTTTTTTATGTCATTATTTCTGTAATGAAATTGAAATGGTTATGAAATGAAATTTAAATTATTTGAACTCCTCGAGTTTTGTAACTTCAATATTAAATTTTATTTAAAGTGAAACAGAGCTAATTTCTTTGCAGCCATAATAGTCACATTAGGTCAGATGAAAACCCGCACACTACTCATCGGTTTAGCTTTCAGAAGAGATTCGGTGTCAATGTATGGGCAGGAGTATGGCGATCGTTTAATTGGGCCGCATTTTCTACCTGAATATCTGAATGGTACGCGTTACTTTCAATTTTTAGTAGAATTGTTTGAAAACCTTCCCCTTCAGATGCTACGGGATATGTGGTATATGCACGACGGAGCTCTGGCCCATTTTGCTCGCGATGTCCGTGTGTTTTAAAATATCAATGTCCCAATCGGTGGATAGGGAGATGAGGGCCCATAATCCTATGGACTTTTGTATATGGGGTTATATAAAATCTGTCGTGTATCACACCGAGGTAGAGAATGTAGAGCAGTTGCGGAATCGTATTCAAGATGCCGCTGAAGAAATACGTAACAACCCTGGTTTATTCCATCGCATCCGCCGCTCATCTATCCAACGTATACACTTGTGCATAGACGGTAACGGTAATATATTTGAAAAAATTAAAAAATTAACATTATGATGTTAATAAAAACTGATTTTTGACAAGGCATGCTCAGACCTCCTCGAGGTTCTTGCTGGGCAACAATAACAATTTAATGTGTTGATTGCATAATTATAAAAAATAATTTATAGCATTTTAAATTATTATTGGTTGACGTGAGCAAATCGTTTATTTATTGTCTTTACGTTGCATCTAGGGCGCGTTGTTCATATCGTAGCCGTGCGCAAATTGTGAATAACCGGCTGACGTCAGCCAGTCAGTAACAGCCTGAAAAGGAGGTTAAATAATGATTTGAAAATTTTTTTTTCTGTTTAAATATGCATTTATTTTTTTTAATCACGCCATCGTATTATACTCATTTTTCTCTATCTGCTCTTAAAATTAATGACATTATGACTAAATCACCCTGTATATGCATAACACGTTTTCCCCTTCTAAGACAAAATCGAAAATGTTTTTAGAAAATTAAAATAAAGTTATGTGTAGGTGACAATACTACAAAGTACAATAAGTATAAAAAAATAATAATCTATTTTAGTTTTTATTTACATTATGTATTTTGCTCATTTTGAATTAAATTGGACATGAAATCATAAAAGTGGAAAAGTGGAAAAGTATTTCATTTCCAACTCGAAATGAAATACTTTAAAATAAATAGAAATATGTATGTATACTATTACATTTTACAAACAAAAAATATTTGTTTTGACGCTTGTTAAAATAATAAAAATACAAAAAGTTGACCTTTTGATAGTTTTCGAAAAAAATATTAAAAATTTCGAAATGTTGCCATACTTATACTTGAAGTTTACTTACCAATAGGTTTTGCATCAAAACACATTTTGGAATCTACAGACATTTGTTTATAACACTGATGTCCAGATGTAGGTGTACCTAAATAACCATCTTTACATTTTGAGCACTGCACCATCCAACAAGGATGAGCAGAATTTTTTTCTGAACCAACTCTACAAACATCACTTTCTGTGTTATTTTGACAGTTACATTTATCACCATAAATTGGATCACAATTGTCCCCATGACCATGGCAATCACAAGGTCGGCAAGAATCTCTGTGGTTCTCAGTGCCACGAAAATTACCTGGAAATAAGTTATTTATGTAATTTCAATACCATGGTAATAATTCAAATTTTTCATAGGATGCTGATATTTAAGAAACATCTTGTAATTATTACAATTTTGATCAAAATCGCCACCATTTTGTACCGGGACACAGTGAAGCAATGGGACTGTCTGGTATACTCTTGTACTCACATAATCATTTTCATAAAACCGGCAAGATATTTAAACCTCAACAATCTAAGAACGTATAGACTGTTCCATTTATTTTTATATAACGATCAATATCACCATAAAAAATATTTACAATATTATATTATATTCAGAATTTTGTGATAAACTCAAAAATTAAATAGAAAAAGGGAGTATCATCGAGTTTATCTAATATTTAAAGCCTTAAATTTATTTAGTCTTAAATATACTTTCTGTATAGCAATATTTTATTAAAAACAGGGTGGCCACTAGAGTGGTAAAGTTCAGTAGCGCCCTTACTATTCGTAGTACTAAAGAATATACAAATAAAAATTGCAGAGGATCAACAAAATTATTTTTGATTATTATACAGTCTTATTTAGAAGTGAGCAATAAAAATATGTTTGTCTAAATAGAACAGACAATCTATGTTTTTAAACATTGTTTGATATCCTCAAAATAATTTCTACATCCTGATATAATTACTGTTATTAAGAAACACACAAAAAACGCACATACACACACACATACACGCACGCACGCGCCCACACACACACGCACACGCACACCCAC